GAAAGAAGGTGAAGGGATTATCCAGGGAATATATATATTTCCAGGGGGGGCTGGGTGGAGGTGCGTAAAGGCGGGGGAAATGGGGACTTTTGTAATAGTAACTTTGTAATTATAATTTAGACCCCCAAGTATTTTTGTTTATATGGATTATATATCCATGGACATTTATGTGTTAGGAGTTGAAATAGACATTTCAGCCTAAGATGCCAAGCACACATTTATTTTTTTTAAAATATATTTTTATTGATTTCAGAGAGAAAGGGAGAGGGAGAGAGAGATAGAAACATCAATAATGAGAGAATCATTAATCAGCTACCTCCTGCACGCCCCCGACTGGGAATCGAGCCTGCAACCCAGGCATGTGCCCCCAACCAGAATCGAACCTGGGACCCTTCAGTCCGCAGGCTGACACTCTATCCACTGAGCCAAACCAGCCAGGGCAAAGCACACGTTTATTAACCATTGAGTGATGTCATCATACTTGGGTGATGTCATCATATGGCCTGTAGCCCTCTGAACAGTATGCCAGTGCAATGAGAGTGGAAAGGCAAGTAAGTGGCTTGGCACTGTTGGGAACCTGTTTTGACCCCAAGGACTCCCTGCAAGGGTCTTGGACTTCCCTGGACCACAATCTAGAACAGGTGGCTTAGGACCAACCCATGATGAAAAGCCAGCCCCCCACCAGGAAAAGGAATCTCTCCTCAGCTTCACTTAGTAAAGCTGTGGTTGCATACCTGTGTCCATGGTCCTGGGGTTTGGGGACTTGATGTATTTGGCAAGGTCTTGATGAATGTGTTGGTGGTGTGGGCTGATTGGGAGAGGGGAAAGGCCAATGGGTTGAATGCCTATGACGTCATGAAATCTCAGTGCTTATGACCCCCGTAGAACAAGATATTAATGTTCCTGTTCTACTGTTAGCTGATCAACAGAGGAGCCATGATGTGGACTGGCTGCCAAAACGGTGGCTGCTCTTGGTGTCATACCTGGACAGGCCTTTAGAGCAGCCCTGGGGTCGGGCTGTGGCTCGGTCATCCTCTCTCTGAGTCAAGGTTTTCCCAACAGTAAAACAGAATATTAACTATTCTCCAGGGCTGTTACGGGGATTAAGATCAACTGTAAAAGTGGTTGAGGAGAATAGGTAAAGAATGCTGTTCCCTTATTTTAGAACGATACACTCTGTGAGGGGCATCTAGATATGCACTTTCATGCTCCCTAATTTCTTTCTCCTGGTAATGTTTCCCCCTCTGCATCTGATCTCCTCTCCAAAAACATCAAGTCCCCAAACCCCAGGACCATGGACACAGGTATGCAACCACAGCTTTACCAAGTGAAGCTGAGGAGAGATTCCTTTTCCTGGTGAGGCCCCTGGTTCATCAACTTCCTCTCCACCAAAGGATGCTATCCTGGGTGGGGTAAATAGCCGCCTGCATGACCACACAGCATCCCCTTCTCTCCATTTCCCCTCATTCCACTGATCACCATCTTCTGTTCTTGACAGCTCCCTGGTCACACCCTCTACCCTCTGAAGAACTCCATTTTTTTCCTTGTAAAAAATTTTTACAACCTTTTAAAATGAAGTATAATACACATACTGTAAAGTATCCAACTCGTTCCTGCACAACTTATCACAAGGTAACCTCACTTGAGCAACCAAATTAATAGAACATTACTACCATAAGAGGAGTCCCCTTGCACTTGCCCGATACACAGAAAGGTCCACTAGCATGACTTCTAACACCATAGATTTTGTAGATTCCCTTTGTCAGGTTAAGGAAGTTCCCTTCTATTCCTATTTTTGTCACAAATGCAGAATTTTATCAGATCGTGTGCCGTGCCAGCACAGCCAAGGGTGAACCTGAGGAGGGGTGGTGAAGGATTGAAGAAAAGACAGACAAGAGAATACAGCTGGGGCTCGGTGGATCTCCCGTGCCTGGATGAGGACATAAAAGACCCAGCCTGCAAGCCGATGCTTTATTTTATAGTCTGATTAAAACAAGGGTAGATGAACATGTATACAAATGTTCTTGTTTTGGCAACACTTGCTGCACCTCCCACAGTCCAATATCTACTTAGGAAGGAATTAGAGAGGGCTACAAGGTCAGGCTTAACTATGCTAGGAGAGCTCTGCCCTCCAGGCTGGGACTTGTTTGTGGCCACAGGTCAACCCAAGGCTTGACTCTAGCCGCTCCCTATAAAATAGTTTTTTCTATGAGATGAGCATAATCCTTTTTTTTTCTTTATCAACTTACAGATCATACAGATTTCTGAATGTTAAATTAACATTGAAACTCCTGGAATGAATCCAACATGATTGTGATGTGCTATTCTTTTCACACATTGCTGGATTTGGTTAATATTTTAAGATTTTTGCATGTCCATGAGTGAGATAAGTGTATAATCTTTTTTTCTTGTAATATCTTTGTCAGACTTTGGCATCAAGGTTATGTCAACCAATGTAAGGATTTGGGATTTTATTCTGAGTGATACAGGAAACTATTCAAGGCTCTGACATGTGCTGATATGAAAAGATGTCAGAGATAATTAAGAGGGGGGATAGCCATACATTTAACCAAGGAGGTGAGAGAACTACATTGAAAACTAGGAGACATTAATGAAAGAAATTGAGGAAGACATGATAAATGGAAAGCTATTCTGTGCTCATGGATTGAAAATATTGATATTGTTAAAATGTCCATTCTACCAAAAGCAATATATAGATTCAATGTAATCCCTATAAAAATTTCAATGGCATTTTTCAGAGAAATAGAACCAACAATCCCAAAATATGTATGGAACCACAAAATACCCCAAATAGCCAAAGCAATCTTGAAGAAGAACAACAAAGCTGGAGGCATCATGCTCCCTGATTTCAAACTACATTACAAAACCATAGTATTCAGAACAGTATGATACTGGCATAAAAACAGACACATAGATCAATGGAACAGAATAGCCCAGAAATAAACCCATGTATATACATATGGTCAGTTAATTTATGGCAAAGGAACCAAGAATATACAATGAAGAAAGGACAATCTCTTCTATAAATGATGTCAGGAAAACTGGACAGCCACATGCAAAAGAATGAAACTGGACCACCACCTCCTACAAAAAAAACAAAAATTAACTCAAAATGGACTAAAGATTTGAATGTAAGACCTAAACCATAAACCTCCTAGAAGAAAATATATGTGGTAAGCTCCTTGACATCAGTCTTGGCAATGATTTTTTTTAAAAAACTGATACCAAAAGCAAAAGTAAATAAAAAACTTCTGCACAGCAAAGAAAACCATCCACAAGATGGTTAGGTTACCAAACCGGAGAAAATGTTTTGCAAATCATTTATTTGGTAAGGGGTTAATATCCAAAATATATGAAGAATTCATGCAACTCAATAGCAAAAAAAAAAAAAAAAAAAAAAAAAATCTGATTTTTTAAAAATGAGCATAGGATCTGAATAGACATCTTCCCAAAGAAGACATACAGCTGGTCAACAGGCACATGGAAAGATGATCTAAATCACTAATCATCAGGGAAATGCAAATCAAAAACCGCAATGAGATATCTCCTCATATCTTTTAGGATGGCTGCTATTAAAAAAGAAAAAAAAAAGATATATGTGTTAGTGAGGATGTTAAGAAAAGGAAACCTTTTGCACTGTTGGTGGGGATGTAAATTAGTGCAAACACTATGGAAAACAGTATGGAGGCTCCAGTCATAAAAAATGAAAGACATCTTGCCATTTAGGACAACATGGATGGATCTTGAGGACATTATGCTAAGTTAAATAAGTCAGACTGAGAAAGACAATACCATATAATCTCACTTATATGTGGAATCTCAAAAAACAAAAAACCAAACAAACCTAAAACAAATAACCAAGCTCATAGATACAGAGAACAGACTGATGGTTGCCAGAGGTGGGGAATGGGCAAAATGGGTGAAGGGGGTCAAGAGGTATAAACTTACGGTTATAAAATAAACAAGTCAAGGGGATGTCAAGGGCATGGTGACTATAGTTACAATACTGTATTGCATATTTAAAAGTTGCTAAAAGAGTAGATCTTATAAGTTCTCATCACAAGAAAAGAAAATTTTGTAACTATATATGGTAATGAATGTTAACGGTACTTATGTGTGATCACTTCACAATCTATACAAATAGCAAACCATGCCCTAGCCGGTTTGGCTCAGTGGATAGAGCGTCAGGCCTGTGGACTGAAGGGTCCCAGGTTCGATTCCGCCTGGGTTGTGGGCTTGGTCCAATGTGCAGGAGGCAGCCAATCAATGATTCCCTCTCATCATTGATGTTTCTCTCTCTCTCTTCCTCTCCCTTCCTCTCTGAAATGAAAAATATATATATTAAAAAAACAACAAGTAGCAAACCATCATGTTGTACACCTGAAAGTAATTAATGTTATATATAGATTATACTTTATTATAGCTTTTTTAAAAGGGGAAAAAAGCAATTTACAGAATAGTATATAGAATATGATCATTTTATGTAAATTTAAAAGCTCCATGTATGTGATGAGTACATATTTTTAGTCATTTAGACAAAGAACCTGAGAATTGATGGCAACAGAGGTGATGAGGAAGGGAGACTTTCAATTTTCACTTTGCACTATTTTGTATTGTTTAAAATGTTTTGACACGTGCATGCATTTTAAAATTTAATTACAAGAAGAATGCAGAAAAAGAAGAGAAACAGGAGGAGGCAGGAAGGAGAAAGTATCAAATGGAAAAGGAAATGAAGGCAGCTCTTTGGCCCTCAAAGCTGTCTCCTAGCTGGAGGTGGTGGTGTAGAGTGGATAGTACCGGCTCAAGGACTGGCAACCGAACCTCGTCATGCAGCTCAGCCCCTCTGCAAAGTGAGGATGGTGCTGCCCACTCAGGGCCGTGTGGAGATGTGATCAGTTTCTGTGCTTGGCATGTGGTTCTAAGTCAGTAAGTGTCTGCTCCCAGCCCCCCCTCCCCCCCCCCCCCCCCCCCCGACTTCTCTCACCAAACAGCCTGAGTCAGGCCTCTCCGGCTCCTCCTTGGCCTGCAGCCCGGGGTGGACATCTCCTTGGATCGCGGGAGGCACCAACGCTGTCATCGTCCGCAGAACCACAAGGCCTGCTTTCTCATAAACAAGTCTTACTCCTGCGAAGGAGTTTCACAGGCATCTTCCTCCTGCCCGCGAGGTGATGGCACGTGCGGAGGAGGCCACGTCCCCCAGAGCCCTGCTCAGGCTGCAGGCCGCTCCCTGACGAGTCAGTGTGTGTGTGTGGGGGGGGGGGGGGGGGGGTGTCGGCCTCCCTGGCGCTCAGCACCCAGTCCATTGGCCGTGACTCTGACCAGTACGAGGCTGGGCAGATGGACTCGACTCGGAGCCCCGCTCCTGGGTAGTGGGGTTCCCAGGACACCCCCACGCCCAACTGCCACTCTCCTAACTGCCGTCGGAACTCTGCTCTGTCCTGGGGTGAGCGCTGGCCGGGGAGCCCGAAAGCGTTTGGAGGGCCAGGTGAGAGCTTCCTTTTGTGACTTGGGCACCAGCCCCTATAGTTTCAAGAGGAAAACTCGGCTGCCTTTGGTTTTTATTTGTTTGGTGTTGGCTTCAGAGCTCTGAAGCCCGTGCTGCCTCTCGCCCTTCTGATTTGCAGGATGTCGGGGGAAGAAACCCACTTGGCTATCTGAGCATCATTGGGTGTGAAGACGCTGGGTGTGAAGACGCTCCGCAGAGGAGCTCCAGACTTGGTAAAAAAAAAAAAAAAGAAAAAAAAATATTTTTCTCTTCAAAATGCAAATCTTTCTTTTTTATATAAATAATAAATGCATATTATAAAAATGTATACAATCCAGAGGCATTCCCCACCTCTGCTGTGTGACTAGAGACAACCACATTAATAGTTGGTAGTGTATCTTTTCAGTCTCTGGAAATGTATGCATCTGTGTAAAACATTAATGTGAGCTTACTAAATATTATTCTATAATCTGGCTGCTTAAATTCCAAAAGTACACAAAAGTGAACTTTCCAGCCCATATATATATACCTGCATTTTCCTGGCTGAAATTAACTTCACCATTCCCTAATATTGCGTAGCTAGCCTGTTTTACATTTCTTTCTGTTACAAATAGTGAATGATGTAATGAACTCCCTTTTACATGTATGGCTGCCTATTCATGTGGGTATTTTTATGGGATAAAATTCCTACAAATGTACCTAATGGGTCTAAAGTAAGGCACACATTTTGAGTTTTGGTAGATGCATCTAAATTACTCACCAAAAAGGCTTACACACCTGCCAATTCCACATTGTCAAGGCCCATGATAGTTGTAGGGGTTATGGAAATGGCTTAACTTCTTTTAAAATCAGGAGAAAATATAATACCAATGACTTTATAGTACACAATAGATCCAGACTGGATTGCATATTTTATATACCAGTGCAGCTATAAAGTATACTTGTTTATGTTTTCTTTAATGGAGAGGGAACCCATGAAGGCCAATGTGCACAGGGCCTGCAAGGCATAGTGTGGCCCTGGGCTACCCATTTCTCCACACCCCTGCAACTCTGAGAATTATTTTTTTAGTTTTTGCTAGTCTTTTATGCAAATAAAAAAACATGCCATTTCACAATTGTTTCTACCTGCACTTCTTTGGTTATTTGTGAGGTAGGTATGTATGGTCACCTAAGTTTGTTGATCATTGAAATGTCCTTTATGAATTGCCTATTTATGTTTTTATCTCATCTTTCTATTCAGCTGCTCATCTTTTCTTTGTTAAAAATTTTGCATTCTAGATTTACTGGTATCTTTTTGTCATGATATTGGAAGGTTTTCTATACCCCGAATCTGTCAGGCATTTCTTTATGGTATCACTAGAGGCCTGGTGCATGAAATTCTTGCATTAGTGGCGGGGGCGGGGGGGGGTCCCTCAGCCCTGCCTGCACTCTCTCGCAGTCTGGGAGCTCTCAGAGACTGCGCTTGTCCGCCATGAACCCGGCTTCTGGCTGAGCAGCATTCCCCCATGGGAGCACACTGACCACCAGTGGACAGCTCCTGCTTTGAGCACTTGCCCCCTCATGGTCAGTGCACATCATAGCAACTGGTCAATCAGTTGACTGTCTGCCCCTGCTGGCAGTGCATGTCATAGCGAGCGGTTGAGCAGCTTTAGCATATCATTAGCATATTACCCTTTGATTGGTTAAACTGACAATCATCCGACTGGGCACTTAGCATATTAGGCTTTTATTATATAGGACTAGAGTCCTGGTGCACAAATATTTGTGCACTCGGGGGTGGAGGGGTCCCTCAGCCCGGCCTGTGCCCTCTCGCAGTCTGGGACCCCTCGGGGGATGACCACCTGATGGCTTAGGCCTGCTCCCCGGGAATTGGGCCTAAGCTGGCAATCAGACATCCCTCTGGCAGCCCGGCAGCCCTCGGGGGATGTCCACTTGACAGCGGGGAGCAGGCCTAAGCTGCAGTCAGACATCCTTAGTGCTGCTGAAGAGGCAGGAGAGGCTCCTACCACCACCACTGTACTGGTAGCCATCAGCCTGGCTTGTGGCTGAGCAGAGCTCCCCCATGTGGGAGCACTCTAACCACCAGAGGGCAGCTCCTGCATTGAGCGTCTGCCTCCTGGTGGTCAGTGTGTGTCATAGTGACCAGCCATTCCCAGTCATTCTGCTGTTAGGGTCAGTTTGCATATTACCCTTTTATTATATAGGATAGAGGCCTGGTGCACGGGTGGGGGCCAGCTGGGTTGCCCTGAAGGGTGATCCGGATCAGGGTGGGGGTCCCGCTAGGGTGCCTGGCCAGCCTGGGTGAGGGGCTGAGGGCCGTTTTCAGGCTGGCTGGCGACTGAAGCTCCCAGCCTCTCCTTTTCTTCTTCTTCTTTTTTTTTATTCTGGGATTTATTTACCTTCTATAATTAAAACTTTGTTGCCATCCTGCTCGCTCCAGCTCTGAGGCCACAGCCTGCTGAAAGCAGGTATCTGGGGTTTGTTTAGCTTCTATAATTGAAACTTTATTGCTTTCGGAGCTCAGAGCTGGGCCGTGGCAGGTGGGGAACCTTGGCTTCCTCCATCACTGGAGCGAGCAAGCCTCCTGCTCACTTCAGCTGCGTGGCTGCCGGCCGCCATCTTGGTTGGCGGTTAATTTGCATATTACCCTGATTAGCCAATAGGAAGCGTAGGGAAGGTACGGTCAATTACCCTTTTGTCTTTTATTAGATAGGATTCTTACAAGGGTTTACACAAATATTCATTGATATTTTCTTTTATTTTTTCTTTCTTTCTTTATTTTTATTTTTATTTTTTTATTGCTTAAAGTATTACAAATATGTCTCCCTTTTTCCCCCACCCTTGACAATCCCCTGGCCTCCTCTACCCCCCAGTGTCTTATGTCCATTGGTTATGCTTATATGCATGCATATAAGTCCTTTGGTTGATCTCTTACACTCCGTTTCTGCCCCCCACTCTCCCCGGTCTTCCTGCTGCAGTTTGACAGTCTGTTTGAGGCGGCTCTGCCTCTGAATCTATTTTTGTTCATAAGTTTATAATGGTCTTTATTATCCATGAATGAGTGAGATCATGTGGTATTTTTCCTTCATTGACTGGCTTATTTCACTTAGCATAATGGTCTCCAGTTACATCCATTCTGTTGCAAATGGTAAGAGTTCCTTCTTTTTTACAGCAGCATAGTATTCCATCGTGTAGATGTACCACAGTTTTCTAATCCATTCATCTACTGATGGGCACTTAGGCTGTTTCCAGATCTTAGCTATGGTGAATTGTGCTGCTATGAACATATGGGTGCATCTATCTTTTCTGATTGGTGTTTCTGGTTTCTTGGGATAGATTCCTAGAAGAGGGATCACAGGGTCAAATGGGAGTTCCATTTTTAGTTTTTTGAGGAAACTCCATACTGTCTTCCATAGTGGCTACACCAGTCTGCATTCCCACCAGCAGTGCATGAGTGTTCCTTTTTCTCCACATCCTCTCCAATATCTATGGCTATTATTATTTATGATAGTATCTTTAATTCATCTGGAATACTTTTTGTAAAAGATGTGAAATAGTTACTAATCTTTGTTTTCCAGCATCTTGGGACAATAACTTAAAATATCACTTTTATCAAATATTAAATTCTCATTATACATGACTCTATTTTTTGAATCTCTTCCATCCCATTGATCCATTCATCCATTGTTATGCAAACTCCACACTTTTTTTTTTTTTTTAAATCTTCACCTGAGGATATTTTTCCGTTGATTTTTAGAGAGAGTAGAAGAGAGAGGGAAAGACAGAGAGAAATATCAATGTGAGAGAAACACATTGATTAACTGCCTCCTGCACATGCCCTGACCAGGGCCCAGGCAGGTGAGGGGCCTGCAACCGAGTTACATGCCTTTGACAGGAATCAAATCCGGGACCCTTTGGTTTGCAGGCCAATGCTCTATGCACTGAGCCAAACCAGCTAGGGCCACACTTTTTTTTTTTTTTTTCAGGTAGAGCCACACTTTTAATTGCATAACTTTAGGATATTTTGATTTCTGATAAGGCAAATCACTTCTCCTCTTTCAATTTTTCTCTTCATTATTCTTATACATTTACTCTTTTTGATGAACTTTACATTTTCAAATTACATTTTCAAGTACTGAAAAAAATCCCAATAATTTTTGTAAAACTTTACAGATTGATTTGAGAAGGGACATCTTTACAAAATGTCTGCCTCTCCAAGAGCATGGTTGTTCAGACCTATTTACAAACATTCCGTTTTGTCTAAGCCCTGGCCATCTCAGCTGTCTCCTTTTCAGACTCCTCCTTGGCTCTCTCTGGGGCCAGGAGGCCAGCAGCAGGGGCTTGTCTAAGTCTTCTTGTCCCCAGGAGGCTCATGGGGACCTTCTCTTTTGCCATTTTTGCCCTGTTTAGTACTGGTTTTCTAAGAACTGTGTTCCGCTGCAAACCACCGTGGCAAAGCCCACCATGATCTCCTCTGATCTCTCTTTTTTTAAAATACATTTTTATTGATTTCAGAGAGAAAGGGAGAGGGAGAGAGATAGAAACATCAATGATGAGAGAGAATCATTGATTGGCTGCCTCCTGCACGCCCCCTACTGGGGATCAAGCCCACAACACCTGCATGTGCCTTTGACCAGAATCGAAGCTGGGACCCTTTAGTCCGCAGGCCAATGCTCTATCCACTGAGCCAAACCAGCTAGGGTGATTTCTGGTCTCTCTGCTTCCACTTTTGCCTCCTCTGGCTCATTCTCCACGCTGGGCCCAGTGTAATCTCTCTAGTCAAGGCCCTGTGGTCCCCTCCTGGAAACCCCATAGTGATTCCCTGTTCTATTAGTTACTTATTGCTGCTGTAACAAATTACTACAAACGTAATGACTTAAAACAATGCTTACTTCTTGTCTGGAAGTCAGAAGTCCAAAATCAGTCTTGCTGGGATAGAATCAAGGTGTCAATAGGGCTGCATTCCTTTCCGGGGGCTTTGCGAGAGGATACGTTTCCCTCCGTTTCCAACTTCTAGAGGCCGCCTGCATTTCTTGACTCATGGCCCCTTCCTTCATCTTCAAAGACAGCAATTGCATCGCTCTGACCCCTGCTTCTGTTGTCATACCTCCTTCTCTGGCTCTGGTCCCCCTGCCTCCCCCTGGTAAGTATGATCATAAGAATCACCCCTGTGATTCTACTGGGCTCACCCAGATAATCCAGGATCCTATCCCACCTCAAAGCTCTTAACCGCATCTGCAACTTTCCTTTTGCCACGTGAGGTACCATATTCATAGGTTCCAGGGATTAGGATGTGGACATTACTCCGTCTACCACAGCCATGGCCTTGCTGGCCCATCAGTGACCTGCCCCGCTGGTCCTCTGATTAAGCCAGTTCTACTCTCTCCTTTGAACTCCCTGCTCCAGCCACATGAACTTTTAATTTCTGAAACCTGCCCTTTCTGCTCCTCCAGTCCTGGTCCAGGCTGACTCTGCTGCCTGGCAAACCTTTCCCCGCCTCTTCACCTAACTCCCAGTCATCTGCAGCCTTGGCTTTTTCTGGAAGCTTCCGACAACCTCTTGTACTCCTTGCATGCTCTTCCAGACTTTGTTAGAGGCTGCGGTGCCATCCTCCATGGTTCCTGGCCCCAAAATACTATTGTTTGTTTGGTTCTCTTCTCTTCCACATGTAAGCTCTCAGAGGGCAGAGGTGAGTGATAAGGGCAGCTCCGCACTTGGCACAGAAGAGGGAACTTAAACTCCTTGCCAAATGAATGTAATTTCACAATAGAGTGCAAGTAGTCTTACTCCATAGGTGTCATCTTAAAAGCGTTCTTCATTCAGTCAGTGAGCACTGACTTTGTAAGTACTGAGCCATGGGGGCTAAAATAAGGGGAAAACATTTGAATGTTACGGTTGGAGTGGTATGATCATAAGGACCCGAATAACCATCTTCCCCTTCAGGGAAATGGACTTGGAGGTCAGCGAGCCAGTAGACTTCAGTACCGGAGATCACCAGCATCTGGTCCGGAAAGCAGGAGACAATAGCACCCAGCCCGAATCTAAAGAGACCAAGGCAACACCACCTTCACCTGAGCTCAAGCAAACACATGGGAAACCAAAGCCAAAGACCAACCAGCGAGCTGATTTCTACGTGGTGGAAATTTCAGATGAGACCACCCCTGAAGAGAGCAATGCTGAAGCCAGCCCATTCTCAGAAGCATCTATCCGCAGAGGTGAGAACAAAGACATTTCCTCTCTGGGAGAGAAAAAGCATATGTTCTCTTAAAATGTTTCCACAGAAAGATTGAATTTTGCTTTTAGTTTTTCCCAGCCAGGCTTTTCCATGAAACATGGGGTAGGGCTGCTGTGGCTAGACCACCCCCAAGTTGTCCAGAGCATTCAGAAAATCCTAGTAAACATATTGTAGTGAAAAGCGTATGGTTTCCTTAGGAATTATGAATTAGTCACTGATGGTCGAATGTCCTTACCTGTATACAATGTGAATACCATAGTATTGGCTTCAGTTTTAAAGAATATGAACTCAACGCCTTCGATATTAATTCTGTACAGGAAGTACATTTAGCTGTGAGTAAAGAAACTTAAAAACGGTGGCTTAGTAAATAAATGAGAAGTATTTTTCTTTCATGAAATATGAAGTTCAAGGGTAAAAAATTCAAGGCAAATGCCACAGGTCCCCGTGACCCCTTTGCCACCGTTAGGCCTTGTTAGGGCCTGGACAGGTTGAGCTTGAATGTCATTGCTGGCCCTCGCCCTCCTTGTGGCTGGAGAGATGCCTTTTGGAGCTCTATCTAGCCTTCCAGGTAGGGAAAGAGGAAAAAAAAAAAAGAAGAAGAAGAAGAAAAAGAAAGAAGGAGACCAGGCTGGTCTGCCGCCCTCACAACACCAGGGCTGCCATGGATGGATAGATGCCCTGAGTGTCCTCCAAATCTGACCTCTGTTCAGAGGCTTTTCCAGAAACCACACCCAAGAGTTTTCAACTCACGTCATTGACTCCACCTGGCCCACGTGACCACCTCCCTCTGCAGTTTTTCAGTTGGGTCCATTGCCACCTGTATTGCCACTTGTACTGCCACCAGTAACAAGATCTGGGTTAGATAGTGAGGTAATGGGGGAGAACAGATGTCCCTGGGCAGCCAGCCACCGCTGCCATGGGTGCCAGTCCTTTCTCCCTGGGGTTGCGCAAGGGGAAGGTCACTGCATTTAGCCCATTCGGCCCTGTAACTGAAGTGGCTGTGGATCTGTTTTTGTTCATCAGTTTATGTTCATTATATTCCACAAATGAGTGAGATCATGTGATATTCCTCTTTCTCTGACTGGCTTATTTTGCTTAGCATAATGCTCTCTAGTTCCATCCATGCTGTTGCAGACCATACATTCTCAACAATTATTTCTGGACTTTCAATTCGATTCCATCATCTGCACGTCTAGTCTCATGAGGCGGGCCATTTAATACTCATTCTCTCACAGATCCTGATACATAGTCGATGTGGCTGTTTTAGTGTAGGCAGCGCACATTTGGGTAAATACGTCCTGGTGCTTTCATTAAGATCGCTCAGGCCCATTTTGCCGCAGTCACACCTCCTATACCCAGAAACAACCTGGCAAAAGGACACAGTTGTGATCCTCTAAGTCAGTGGTTCCCAACCTTCTGGCCCTTTAAATACAGTTCCTCATGTTGTGACACAACCATAAAATTATTTTCGTTGCTACTTCGTACCTGTAATGTTGCTACTGTTATGAATCGTCATGTAAATATCTGATATGCAGGATGGTCTTAGGCGACCCCTGTGAAAGGGTCGTTCGACCGCCAAAGGGGTCGCAATCCACAGGTTGAGAACCGCTGCTAAGTCAACTTTAAGCAGCATTTCTTTTTTTCCTTTTACAACTGGCATAAAACCACCAAAAGGTAACTTGTCGTTGCCAGCACCCCTCAGAGGCCCCAGGAACGGCTGCGCAGCAGGAAGCAGGCCACAGAGAGGCCTCGGCGCTGTGCCGCGGGAGGCCCCTCGTGGGGGCTCCTTGGTCCGGCTCACAATCCCTCAGGTTACCTAGTTTCTGCTCAGGTAGCTGGGAAGGGAATGGCTCACGGCAGGTGGGGGGAGAGAAACGTGGTGGAAAAGCTGCCAACTCCCCGCAGCCCAAGGCCACCGCCACGGCCCAGGGGGACGCACCCGCTTGGCCAGCCTTCCTGCAGGCTTCTCTGGTCTCCGTTTTGCCCACGGGTGTGGCTGGACCCCCCTGGCCCTTTCAGATCACTTTGGGGCCTGAGAGGACAGGGTGTGCCTCAGAGGGGACTCCATTCCCGAGTTTGCCTTTAAAATGTTGGGGCTTCCATGCACACCCCTCAGCCTTCCAATGAGACACTCAAACGGGCCTGCAGAGCTGGCCTCCTTCAGTCGGCTCCGTCAAAACCAGCGCTCCTCTCCCAGCCTCCAACAGCCAGAGGAAGCACTTCTTTGGCTAAGTATCAAAGATAGGTCATTGCACTTCTGTCACTACTTTTGAAGATTACATCACAAAAATAACGTTTCTGTCTCCTCAGGTTTCATTGTAAAAGTGTTCCTCCTCCTGTCTGCTCAGCTGGTGATCACTGGGGCCATCATCTCTGTATTTATTTTCTGGTAAGTCTCCTCTGCTGATGCTAATGGGACGCTGAGTGGTTCCCCTCTGTCACTGTCAGTCCTTTAGAGTTTCCCCCTTCTCCTGAGATGGTTTTAATTCTACTTAAGTATTACATTAGTTAGCAAAATTAAGTACTTCTTGAGTAAAACTATTGATTTTATTTTTTTTTTAACCAGGCTAGGTTTAAAAAACTGGGTGCACAAGAATCCCTGGTTCACCTATGCAATCTTGTAAGTATTATTGGATTTAATAAAAAGTGTTTTTTTTTTCCTACTAGCTATTGATCAAGGTTCTTCATTTAAAAATTAAGCAGAGATGTTCTTTTTTTATAGCTATTTCTTTTTCTCTATCATTTTTAATACCCTCCCATACCCTCCTCCGTCTCCACTCACACCCATACTCCCTACAGATATAACATTCTTGAAATGACAAAATTATAGACATGGAAAACAAGCAAGTTGGTGGTTGCCAGAATTAGGTGTGTGTGTGTGTGTGTGTGTGTGTGTTTGTGTGTTACCATAAAGGGATAGCACAGGGAGACCCTTGTTAATGTTTTAATGATGGGATAGTTTCACGTCTTGATTGTGGTGCTGGTTACATGTATCTGCACATAGATTTATGCCACAGTCCTATGCAGAGCGCTATATACCCACACTGTACAGTGTCAAATTACTGGCTCTGGCATTAGTATTATAGACTATAAATAATGTGAGATGGAACCATTAAGGGAAACGAAGTAAAGGGTGCCTCTCTGCCTCTCGGCAACTTCCAATGAATTCACAATTATTTCAAAATTAAAAAAAATGTTAAAAGAGCCCACAAACTACCTGTGGATAGCAATGAGAAAAGCCAGTTTTAAAAGTTAAAAAAAAAGAGGTAAAGATGATAATCCACACTTTGGTTAACTTTATGAAACTTATTATCAGGTATTAATATATAATGACTTCTGTCTCTATTCACCTGTGTCACGTGATATGGTCATTGGACGCAAATGACACCTGATTTTAAACGGTCCGCAGCCCCGCATTCTTCGCGGTGCTCATCGTGCTCGCCTGCTGTGAGAATCTCCGCCGTCAGGTGCCTGCGAACTACCTTCTCCTGGGATTGTTTGTAAGTGAAGCCTGGTGGCCCCTTTGCGATGTGCTGTGACCGCATTATTAAAGTCGTGCCTTGTACGTGGGAAATCTCCCTGTGGCACAGTGCAGGTGGAAGTCACCTGTGCGGCCTTCTCTGCGCTGGCTCCGTTCCAGCGACGCGTAAACTTGCTTCTGGGATCGTGTCCACACCCGCTTAGTAAACTGGGAAACTCGGGGGCGCGGGCCGCTCCCTGGAGGCCACCGGGGGGATCCACGCCACCCGGGGCTGCGTTTCAGGAGTAGTTAACCCGTCCCTGGACCCTTGCCCGGCGCCACACACAGACTTTGCTGTGGAGAGTGGGTTCCACATTTAGTTCCCAAACTCATGTACACGGCATATCATTTTCTTTATTTTTGTAAAACTTATTTCAAGTCTCACTGGGAGCTGAAACCAGCTCAGCTCAGGTTCCTCCTATTCCCCGAATTTCAGTCCAGGAGGCCTTTCCCAGTTCCCAGGAGCGGGGCCCGGCGCTGGGCGGTGAGGGGTGTTTGCCCTCTGCTCCCTGGCTCTTCTCCTTTATCCGTGGTCTTGTTCTGGTCTCACCAGCGCCACCTTGTGGGCGTCCGCTCGCCAGGCCTCGCCACATGGGCCCTCTGTGGCTCAGCGCCGCTCTGGCCTCAGAAACCTGGTGGCACCTTTTCTTGCCGCCAGTTCCTGTCTGTGCTGCCCGCGGGGACCCAGAACCGGCTCAGTGTGTTGGCAAGTGATTCTTTCGGGGAGAGCTGGCGTGTCCTCCCAAGCACTGTTGACCACCCTTCCATGTTGGAAGACTCATTTACCAATTGATTGATTCCTCATCTGGTTCCATATGGGAGCTTATAAAAATATCCACAGTATAAATGAAGATAAGTTGGTGGAGATCATTTTAAACTAGCAAAATTTTCACAAAGGTAATGGCGAATTTGTTTCCAGTTACTCATCCAATAAAGAATGAATTTGGTAAACTAAAAAAATGTAAAATATATATGGAGGAATATGATTGGGGGAAAAATAAGGGTAAAAGATTAAAGCCAGTGGTTAGATTAGTACACAAACTGCAGTCCTATGCACTTGAATGTTGAGCCTAGATTCGAATCTGCGCCACCTGGTGGTCAAAGCGAGCAAAGACACATGACCAAAGAGGGGACATCCCTACTGTGCAGAGGCCCAGTGTGATTTCTGTCGGAGAGAATAGCTTCTTCCCCAGGCTGGAGAAGACGGACCCTCTGGTGCCCACATTTGGGCATTTTCTCAGCAGCCAGAGCGTTGAAGGGACTTTTTTTTTAGCTGGTGTGGATCCCTTGCTCATTGGCCAGTTGAGCAAGTGGGGTCTCCCTGTTCCTGCACAGACCACACTCAGGAAGCGGTGGGGGCTAAAAGCCAAATAGAAAGATACTGAGAATCCTGGAGCAGAGGCGAGTGATGGGGATGATGGTGGTGGTGGTGTGGGTGGGTGAGTGTGTGTGTGTTGGGGGGAGGGGGCGAGTATTTTTCCAGAAATTTTGAATTTTTAAGAATTTTCAATGGTTTTGATTTTTTAAATTTATTGTTACAAGAAGAGATCAAAGCTATTGGTCTTAAAGGAAGCTCTCATTTCTGAAGTTTTGCTGTTTATTCCACAGCAGGGAAAGCTTAAGAGAAGGAATATTATAGATGGGTAAGAATTCGTTCTATTCCCCAGACTTTATGTCTTGCCCAAGTGTTAGGAACTGCACAGAGAAAACCATTTCAGAAAAGGACCCGAGGGAAGAAAGGAAAACACTCGCATCCTGAAGACTGCTCTTGCCCCGGGAACTGTGGCCCCTGAGCCATGGGGCAAGTTCGACTTCTAAGGCCTCTTGTTACTCACTGTCCTGCCCTTGGGAAAACTGAAGGGGGGTTTCCGGCTTGAAATCGTTCCCCTCCTGCTGGGGTCCACCCCAGCAGGACCAGGGGTCCCCAAAGGTGTGGACGGAGTCGGCGAAGAAGGAATGACACGGAGACAGCGTTCAGTTGATCAGCAGCCTAGCCAGGATCTCTAGCCAGGATCTGGTTAGGATCTCCACCCAAGTTCTGTCTAGGATCTCCAGCCAAGTTCTGTGTCTAGGTTCTCTAGCCATGTTCTCTTGCTAGGTTCTCTCTAGGTTCTGTGGCCAGTTTCTGTCCAAGATCTTTTGCCATGTTCTGTCTCTGGGTTCTGTGTAGGTTCTGTGTCCTGTTGTCTTGTTACATCTGTATTTATACCAGTTGATTCAATCCTATCAATCTCTATTCCAAAGGTTAGGGCGTTTCTTATCTCCATTCCAGGGAGTAAAGATTATGTAGCTTAAGCATGATTGTTCGTAGTTAAAGTGATTAATTACCCGCCTGGCACTTAGTTAAGGGGTTTTATTCCCTCCCTAACTTCAGGGGAAAATCCCTACCTGGGGAAACAACCTTTCTCAGAGAGGTGACCTTGGTTAAAACACATAGTGCCAAGAAGGTGAGCAAACATATTAAGAACAGTATGCCATATATGCCAGGTCCCTTGAAACAGCAAGGATGAACCGGCTCCCAGCACCCTCCTTCCTCCCACCCCCACTCCCCCTCCTCCCTCTTTCTTGCTCTCTCTTCCATGTGCTCCTGAAGATGGAGGAATGTGAAACAATTGAGCAAGTAGAAGAAAATTAACCTTGAAAAGAAGGTCAGAGACAAGCACCTTATTAAAGTACCATGCGTATGTAGGATACACATGGTACAGTGGGGCCTTGACTTACGAGTTTAATTCATTCTGAGACCGAGCTCGTTAAGGAGCTTGTTAACTCAAATTACTCTGTCAACTCAAAGCAAAAAATCGGTGGAGAGACAGCTGGTATCTCAAAAAACTCGTTAGTCGGGACGCTCGTAAGTTAAGGCCCCACTGTATATAACCTTTTCCTTTTGACCTCTAATGAAAACAAAGACAGCTTACTTGTAGGTTGAGCACAGTAGGCCCTTCCTCACCCGGTCTGGGCCGTGGAGAGGCAGCTGAGGGTTCCCAGGAGCCCTGTTCTTTTGCAGTCTTTCATCCCGTACGGCGTCCGCCCACAGGGATGGCTGAGGCTGCGGCTGGGACTCCAACAGGAGCATTCCTGGCAGTGCTTTGGATTAGAGTCCAGGCCTCAGCCCCAGGAACCCCAGTCCAGACAGCAAGTGGGATCCCCGGTACTCACCCCGGAGGACTCCCCTTCTTCTCGTACCACCAGAGTGGCAGGAATGTAAAACCGGACAACCAACTGGCCTGGGCTGCTGGTCACTACTTGAGCCGATGAAGCAGAGACAGGGTTGAATCCTGTATGAGCATTTATGCCAATGCCGCCGCCGGCAGTATGGGAGAGCTGCAGGTCATCCGCAAAATCTGCTCTCCCCTCCCCATCGGCCAGCTGCTCCTATCGGGCAGAAGGACACAGATACATGGGAAAGTAAGAATGACACGCATGGGGAGTGGGCAGCTCTCTCAGGTCAGCCCGCTGTCCTGGAGCCTGACATCCTCCTGAGTGGCTGTCTGCTGGCTCTCAGCACCGGCCCCTGGGCACCCTGCAGCCTGATGCAGCCCCAATACAGCTCTGCTCCGAGCCCTGGCTGGGCCCCTGCAGGTGCAGCTCATGCTCTGTAAATAGTGCCTCACACCACCCCTCTCACTGAGGAGGCCTCATGCCTCAGCCCACCCCTAGGCTTGAAGAAGTGTTTTATTCTCACCCAAGCACCACGGGAAAGGTCGGTACTGAAACGGTTGGTGAAGCTGCAGTAGAAATAGCATATCCCGCTCGGATAAAATGTTACGATTCTGTGTGGATGGCCCCAGTTGATTAATGATAATATGGTCTGCAGGTAAACCCTTTACGTTGGTTTCCACATTCCTAATCAATACATATTTACTTCACTAAATATGTTGAAAGTTGCTATTGTGTCCTAAAATTCTTTTTCTAATAAAAGAATTTTCTCTTGCTAGTCTTAGGGAGAATGTTTAATTGTACTGTTTATTTTTTTATAACCATTTGCCCTGTAGCTTGTGCGCTAGGGTTGTGGGTATTCCCACTTGCTCCCTAGACCCTGCCAACGAGCACCCCCCCCCCCCCCGCGCCCCCTCCAGTCCTCGCCCCTGCTGCCGGCCTCGGGATCAGCCTTCTGATGGATTGTGCGTTTTGTTTGCAGACATTTTTGCAAGGTCTGATGCTGGGAGCCGTGTCAGTGTAAGTCAGTGATACACGTTTTCCTTTTTGCATGTGCTTTTCCTCGATTGTATGTGAACAATAACTGCAGTCTCTGGTTTCAGTTTCTATGAGGCCGATGAGGTGTTATGGGCCATAGGGGCAACCGCTCTGGTGACGTTATCGCTCACTTTATTTGCTCTCCAAACAAAAGTAGGTATCACTGAAACAGATTTCTGCCATAAGGGCGTGCAGGACATGCTCCTCCCCCCTCCGCTCTCCTCTCTGCTGTCCTGTGGCCTCCTCTCCTTGGGGCTTCGGGCTTTCCCAGGAACCACATTGAAAAAGTAAAAAGAAGTAAGGTGAAATTAATCTGAATAACATCTTTCACTTAACCCAATGTACGTGAAGCATTGTCATTTCAACAAGTAATCAACATGACAAAAATATGAATGAGCTAGTCTACATTCTCTTTTTTGAATTAATATTCAAACCCCGTGTGTGTTTTGTACTGATAGCGCATCTCAGCTTGGAGTAGCCCCAGGTGTGGGAAGCACACCTGTGGACAAGCTCTCAGCAGCATGTCACCTGGGGAGCTTGTTGAACCACAGCTTGCTGGCTCCACCCCCGGACACGCAGAGCCGGAAGGTCAATCTGCATCCCAGGTGGTGCCCCTGCTGCTGGGCTGAGGACCACACGAGGTGATGCAGGACTTCAGAGTACATTTCCTGGGTATGTGAAAGGTAGGGAGTGAGGGCAGAACTAGAGGAACTAGGAGAAAGCTCTTGCAAGAAAATGTCTCGGATTCAAGGACCTTCTTTTGCTGTACAATCCCAGATTTCTCAGGCCAGAAGATTAATATTCCCCTTTCTTTAAAAGAAATTTTAATCTCCCTCCCCCGGCTGATTTGGCCACTGATTTATAAAGGCAAAACCAAAAAGCATGTTGATAAATTTCAAAATTACAAAAGAATCATTAATAGTAGTTTTTGAAAGTTTAGTATATGTATATATTTTTTTATTCAAAGGTATGCATACAAATGTGAAAAGGGCACCCAGTTAATTAACCTCTAGGTCTATTTTATTTCATTAATGTAGTCTATGCTCACACTTTGAAGATATGGGTAATTATGAGCATAATTATGAGCATGCTACACATACACATTTACATCCTGCTCATTCAATGTGCCTTTTCATTAGGGAACATTTTGTAGAAATACAAAAATAGAGCGGCAAAACGAACTCCCATGTGCCCACCGCCAGCTTCAAAAACCATCCCCTCGCGGCCCCTGTGATTTCCCCACAGCCCTCCCTCCCCTCCCGCCAGCAGCAAGTCCCAGGCAGCAGGGCCCTTCATGTCTTGTCAGCGGTTGGGCTGATGGATTTCCCTGGTTCTCCAAACTGGCCTGGTACATGATTAGCCAACGGGCCAGTTTCTGTCTGCAGGGTATGAGGCGCGTCCTCATCCTCCCGGGATTCCGTGGAGGCGGTGACTGAGCTGTGCCTGGTGTGTGTTTCCCCAGCTGGACTTCACCCTGCTCAATGAAGTGCTGTTCGTCTTGCTGGTCGTGCTTTTAATCTACGGAATCCTCTTAATCTTCATACGGTCATACGTAAGTGGGCCTCCCCCGGAGGACAGTTAGGGATCCGGGAGAGGGGCTGGTGGTGTCAGGATGGAGCCTCTGAGAGGCAGAGCCGAGATGGGAGTGGGGGGACTTTCCTGGGAGAAATGTCTGCGAGAGAGGAGTGGGGGAGCGACGAAGGCTGGTAGAGCCTTCCGACCTCGAGGGCCAATGCGACCCCAGGTGAGGGACCGGAAGGGGGTCCGTGGGAGCATTCTGGACGATGAAAGGCTCAGCAAGGCCACCAGCAAGTCCTGGAGGTAACGTCCACGTCCCAGCACAGTGGTCCCGTGTCTCCCACCAACTGAGAAGTGGAGTGTGGCCCAGGAGCCGGCTGCAGTGGCCCTGGGGCAGTAGGACTGTGAGGCCCGTCCCAGGGGCTGGCCAGGTGGTTGGGTCCCAGGGACAGGAGGTCTGGGCCATGATGGTGGAGCTCCTCCCCTGGACTACCGCTGTCCTTCCCTAGGAGGAGTGTGGGTGGACCCGCGCCCAGGGTAGATCAGACTCCTTGTGCTGCTTGTTTGAAGTGATGGAAGTGGAGATGGGCTCCGTAGGACTTTTCCAACAGCAGCTAGAGGAGGCTCCTATTTTTTTTCTTTATTCCCTTTTTTGTTTAATCTATTCACTGACTTCTCACAGGTATCAGACATAGGCCCACGTGTTTGTCATATAGGCATCCAATTCAGTTCTCACAACATTCCTGAAAAGTACACATCTCATCTATTTTATAGATAAGAAGACAGGTTCAGAGACATTAAATAATTCATCCTGGGAGCAGGAGGGATCAAAGCCAGATATGACTTTCTTAAAATTGGGTCCTTATCTAACAGCAGTGACCTAAGTGCGCCCTTTTGTTATTTCAAATCTTGTTCTTAATATTCAGTTGTCTCCTTTCTTCTTGCAGTGGTTGCATCTGTTGTATGCTGCACTCGGAACTGTGCTCTTCTCATTTGTAAGTCCATTTCTCCTTCTCTTGGCAGAGTAGGGTACATGCATGGAAGGTGCCACCTTAGCCCTTGTGCTAAGCGTGGAGTCAAGTAGAGTCAGTGATTCACTGGAAAGCACTCCTGGAGACTTGCTGCTGCTGCTGCTCCTCCCCACCTCCTCCCTCTCTTCCTCCTCCCTCTCCTCTTCCTTCCTCTCCTCCTCCTCCCCCTGCTCCTCCTCCCCCTTTTATAAGGATGATTTTTTAGAGCACTTTTAAGTTCAGAGCAAAATCAAGAGGAAGATACGGAGATTCCCATATACCCCTGCCCACACATGCACAGCCTCCCCTATTATTAACTATACTCCCCTGAGAGGTACATTTGTTACACTGATGAACCTACATTGAGGTGTCAATATCACCCAAACTCCACAGTTTGCATTAGGTTCACTGTGGGTGTACATTCTATGCATTTGGAAAAATGGATAATAAACGACATGTTCCATCGTTATGGTATCATACAGAGTATTTTCACTGCCCTAAATATCCCATGCTCTGCCTACTCATTCCTCCCCTGGCTCCAACCCTTGGCAACCACTGACCTTTTTACTGTTTCCTAGTTTTGCCTTTTCCAGAAGTCATATAGTTGCAATCAGACAGTATGTAGCTTTTCCAGACTGGCTTCTCTCACCTAGTAATGTGCACTTTTAAGGTTCCTCTGTGTCTTTTCATGGCTTGAGAGCTCATTTCGGTCTGGATGTATCACAGTTTATGTATTTAGCCACCTACTGAAGGACATCTTGGTTGCTTCCAAGTTTTGGCAATTTTGCTTGAAGCTGCTCTAAACATCCTTGTGCAGGTTTTTTTGTGAACATAAATTTTCAGCTGCTTTGGGGAAATACCGAGGAGTGTGACTGCTGGATCACGTGGTAAAGTAGAAACCTTCTCCCAGAGTTGCTGGAATCACAAAGGGAGCGGGGAGGGGGAGTGGAGGGAAGGGCCTAGTGGTCCAGGCCGGCGTCTGCTTTAGCATCCCCCCAGCCTAGGGTTTGACTCCCTTCTCTTCCACTCTGATCACTCACATGACCTTCCCTCATTCTATTTTGGAAATACCGACATCACCACAAAGCTCCAGGAATTCAAAATTATTGCTGTGTGTGAATCTAAATGCTGGGAACCATTTTATTTTCATTCTTTGTTCAGTGAGAACACAGGGCATTTTGTAGTATCACTGTGTCCAATATGCCCACCTGGCCCATCTCGTTGACTAAAGTCACAAGGCTACTGGACTGGAAAAGCAAAGGAAGGACAAAGCATTTGCCTTAATGGAGTGCAAACGTGAACGTTGTAAATGGCTGAGGCTGTATAACAACATATATAGCCACAAGCCGACTTTCCGCAATCATGTGTATCGATGCTAACTTTCCCAGATGGTTTAGGACAGTTATTGGATAGGAATGAACAGTTCAAGTAGCTAATTTTTCTTTCTTTTCTTTAAGTACTTGGTGATGGATGTGCAGCTGTTGATGGGGGGGAGCCATCATGTGCAGCTGGACCCTGAAGAGTATGTGTTTGCTGCTCTGAACATCTACTTGGATATAATCAACCTTTTTATTTTTATTTTGCAATTGATTGGACGGTAGGCCCATGGCCAAGGCTAGCTTGTGCTGACCAGAGGGAAGGAGGGCCATCTGCGAAGTGCCGCCAGGCTCAGACATGCAGAGGTGGCCATCTCATAAGCCCTGTGATTAAAAGAAATATTTTAGAGCACTTATTTTTTTTTTCAAATGAAAGCAAACATTCAGTTGATGGTAGCTTTAACTTGTTATATATTTTAAGTTCCATTGTCACGTTGCAAAACTTCCTGTGGGACATTTCTGATTTTTATAATTTCAAAAGATGAGTATCAAAATACCATACTTAAACATTTCTTAGATGCCTGTTATTTTGTTGATATTTTCCTGGCACTTAGTTAAGGCTGTAAACATCTCTCTCTATGAATAAAATTGATTACAGAACCCTATATTTACTCCATTCTCTTCTCTTGATTCGGACATTCTATGGGAATATTTCTGCACAGTCTGACTTTAAGTGTAAGGTAAGCCAAAGTATTCCGCCTTTCTCCTGGATTACAGAGGCAGGCTGAAGAGGACGGTATCTTCCCAGAAGGGGATGGAGAGGATTCATGAAGTTAATGTACACGAAAGGCTGGAGAGCACTGCGTCACCTGCCAGCGTCGCTGTCCCACCTACACGTCTGGGCTTAACTCAGAGACCACCTCCACTGGTTGTCTGGGACAACTGACCTCCTTTGAGGTCCCATAATATTATCAAATTTTCAATTTTAATTGTGATAAAATACACATAACAAAATTTACTGTCTTAACCATTTTTAAGTGTATGGTTCAATAGCAGTAAGTATATTCACATTATTGTGCAACCAATCTCCAGAATTTTTTCACCTTGCAAAACTGAAACTCCATCCCCATTAAACAAGAAGCCATGTATTTTGCACTGACTTATTTATTCACACACCTCTTATAACCCGTTTGGTTTGTCCCTGAGGGACACAGACGGACGGATCTTTACAGCATGGGTGAACTGTGCAGCAGGGAGGATGGGGAGACTAGATGGACTCTTCTGGTCTCTCGAATTATTCACAAGAGCTCGACTTCTAGACATAACTAAACTTACAGATCTCAAGTAGGACATTTGAAATATAAGCACTATAGTCACACACACCTGACTACTTGATTATCTGTCATTTCAGATTAGCCCTACCTCCACAACTTTGGTAAAGCTTCTCATTGTGTTTATAATCTCATTGCTACCAGCAAAGTCCTGAAGATGGGGGTAACCTCTGAAATGTGAGCATGAAGAAGAGAAAGGGACATGAAAGTCATCCAGAAAACAATCCGGGTGGACCCTCCCTCTAAAGCTTCCTGGTCTGGATATTTTGACAAATACTACTGTGTGTACATTTGTCAAAGGCTTTGCTACCAAAGTCATGGTGAGTTAAGGCCACACAAGAAAGCAAATGCAGCTGGAAAGCCTCAGGTTTTGCATATCCTCCTGGCATCAAAAAAATCTTCCTGCATATAATAAGGAATGCTGGCCAATTTCTTTCTCCACTTAAGTTTCTGCTGTCCCAGCAACCCCAGTAGGCATTTCTGTTGTCTCAGCAATGTTCCCAGGCACATAGTCTATTGTGTGCATCTACTGTATGTGCCATTCCACAGTGGTGATGACTCAAAAGAAATTCTAATGCTTTTCATTTCTGCATTTAGTAAAGACTGAGCAAGACACACCTCTTAAGGTCAATCAAATGAGTAGACTAATTCTCAGTATTAGAAATTCATCTTTTGCCTGTTTGGCTCAGCGGATAGAGCGTCAGCTCGCAGACTGAAAGGCCCCAGGTTTGATTCTGATCAAGGGCACGTACCTCAGTTGCAGGCTTGATCCCTGGCCCTGGTAGGAGCACATGCAGGAGACAACCAATTGATGTGTCTCTCTCATCATTGATGTTTCTATCTCTCTCTCTCTTTCCCCTTCTCCCTTCCTCTCTAAAATCAATACACACACACACACACACACACACACACAGGTCTGATGCATGAAAATTCATGCAAGAGTAGGCCTTCCTTCTCCCAGCTGCTGGTACTGGCTTCCCTCCAGCAGCCGGGAGGCGGGCTTCCCTCCTCCAGCCGCTGGCAGGCACCCGGGACCTAGGCTGGCTTCCCTCTGGCCCTGGCTTCGGCTTCGTCAGGAAGGATGTCTGGTCTAATTAGCATATTACCCTTTTAGTAATATATATTCATTTTTTTTAGAAGAGAGTCCACAATCTGAACATCTGGCAAGAGTGGTCCCAAATCCGTCTGTAAATCAACTCATGATGTCCTATAATGGGGGCAATGGAAGCTTACAGGAAAAGAGTGAGGCGAATCCATAGGATTCAGGTTACACTTTCTATAATGCCCACAAATTTGGGCCTATACTTTTAACTTTTGTTCTTTATATTATCCCAAATGGGCATTCCCTCATCTAGCCCTAGGCATGGTTTGATAAGCACATCTATCTACACACAAGTGCCCTTATGAAATCACGCATGCGAAAGGCTAGTGCAGTCAGCCATGTCCTAGTATGCCATACTGCACTCACAGGCTCAAAGACTGTCAACGCCAGAACGGATGTTGGCAGTGTATCATTTGCTTAATCAAAGTCCTTGAAACAAATGAAACTGCTGAAGATCTCTACGGTTCCCCGGTTGTAGCACTGCTGACAGCTCCAATGTACTAAGACGACATTTGCCTGATTGTTGTTCTAAAGCCGGGGTCAGCAAACTATAGTCTGCATGCCAAATCTGGCTTATCTTAAAAAAACACACCAACTTTTTATTTTGAAATATAGATTTACAGGAAGTTGCAAAGATAACTGAGGCTCTGTGTACTTTTACCTGGTCATCCCCCCCCCCCCCCCCCACACACACCAGTGGTTATCTTTCACAAAATGTATAAAATCCAAACCAGAAAGTTGACATTGGTACAATATGCATGTATAGTTGTTATTTTCTCACACGTGTAGGTGCATGCTAACCAATGTACTGACTAGTCCATCACCACAGATGTTCCTTCTCGGCCCCCTCCAGCATTCCCAACCCCCGTGACCACTAAATTATTTCCCTATTATTTTGTCATTTCAAAAATGTTATATAAATGGAATTATGTCCGTGACATTTTCAGGTTCTCCACTCAGCATCATGCCTTTGAGATCCATCCAAGTCGTTGCAACTTGTGTCAGTAGTTAGTTCCCATTCATTGCTGAATAGGATTCTTTTGCACGGCTATACCATGGTTAGCCATTCGCCTACTTCAGGACATTTTGGTGGAGTCCAGTTTTTGGCTATTGCAAGTACAGCTGCTATAAACAATGTATACGGGATTTTACATAAGTTTTCACTTCTCTGTGATAAATGTCTGGTAGTGCAAATGCTGGGAAGTACCTGCTTAGTTTTTAAAGAAACTACCCAACTATTTTCCAGGGTGGCTGGGCTATTTTATATTCCCACCAGCAATATATAAGTGATCCAGTTTCTCTGCATTTGGTATTAATACTATTTATTTCAGCCATTCTGGTAGGGGTGTGATGTGTCTTGTGATTTAAACTTGTATTTCCTGATGGATAGTGATGTTGACCATCTTTTTATAAGGTTCTTTCTTAGCCACGGTCGTCTTCTGTGAAACGTCTCATGCGTTTTGTCCATTTTATATTGGGTTTTCTTTTTACTGTTGAGTTTTGAGAGTTCTTTACATATTCTAGATATGTAGCTGGCAAATACTTTCTCTCAGTCTGTAGCTTGTCTTTTTATCTTCTTCATAAGGTCTTTTGCAAAGTTTTAAATTTTGATGAAGTCCAATTTATCAATGTTTTCCTTTATGGATTATAATTTTGGCAAGAATTTGATAAGAATTATCTGCTAACATAGATCATAACAATTTTCCTTTCTTTTTTCTATTTTTAAAAAATATATTTTATTGATTTTTACAGAGAGGGAGAGGGATAGAGTTAGAAACATCGATGAGAAACATCGATGAGAAACATCGATCAGCTGCCTCCTGCACACCCCCCACTGGGGATGTGCCCACAACCAAGGTACATGTCCTCGACTGGAATCGAACCTGGGACCCCTCAGTCTGCAGGCCGACGCTCTATCCACTGAGCCAAACTGGTCAGGGCTCTAAAAATTTTTAACTTTACATTAAAATCTATGATCCATTTTAAGTTTTATATAAGTGTGAGGTTTAGGGAGAGGTTCATACTTTTGCATCTTCTAGCCCTGTTCCAGCATCATTTGTTGAAAGGGTTACCCTTCTGCCATTGCATTGCTTTTGCACCTTTGTCAGAACCAGTTGATGACATTGGTGGGACTGTTTTTGGGTCTCTGCTCTGTTTTATCCATGTATGTGTCTTCTCCCACCAGTAGCAGACAGTGGTCTTGAAATTGGGTAGAATGATTCCTCCCATTTCTTTATTTTTTTTTGAATATAAATAATAATACAAATTATTTATTTAACTAGTCCCCCACTGATACATATCCAGGTTCTCTCCAATCTTTCTTTTTTTTTTAAATATATTTTTTATTGATTAAGATATTACATATGTGTCCTTATCCCCACGTTACCCCCTACCCCCCCACCCCCCTGCTCATGCCCTCACCCCCCTGTTGTCCGTGTCCATTGGTAGGCCTATATGCTTGCATATAAGTCCTTTGGATGATCTTTCCCCCTTACCCCCACACTCCCCTACCTTCCCTCCAAGGCCCGACAGTCCAATCAATGCCTCTCCGTCTCTGGATCAGTCCTTGTTCATCAGTTTATGTTGTTCATTATATTCCACAAATGAGTGAGATCATGTGGTATTTATCTGCTCTCCAGTTCCATCCATGCTGTGGCAAATGGTAAGAGTTCCTTTTTCTTCTTCCTCTTCTTAAAGAATACCTTTCAGCATTTCATATAATGCTGGTTTGGTGGTGATGAACTCCTTTAGCTTTTTCTTATCTGTGAAGCTCTTTATCTGACCTTCAATTCTGAATGATAGCTTTGCTGGATAAAGTAATCTTGGTTGTAGGTTCTTGCTATTCATCACTTAGAATATTTCTTGCCACTCTCTTCTGGCCTGCATGGTTTCTGTTGAGAAATCAGCTGAGAGTCGTATGGGTACGCCCTTGTAGGTAACTGACTTTCTTT